GGGTTGCGAGCTGAGCTGGGAGCTGCTTGACCTGACAACTGGGGTGGCATAATAAATTGTGGGGGGCCAAGAAATGTCCCCACGTGCCAAAACAAATGTTCCAAGCTTGGCCCGCGGGCCCCACTTTGGGCACAACTGGTCTATAGTTTTTCTGAAGTGAACACAGCCGAAAGCACATAATAGTTTGAGAGTCACATATTTCCATCCCATCTTACCCGGCAGCGTCTTGGCAAACTGCAGCAATCTCTGCAGGTGGGGTGATACAACATCAGACAGACCCTCCCCTTCTTCTGCACATGGCCACTCAAACAACTGAGCAGACAAGAAATCATGAAGACAACATGAAAAACATTTGCATGCTTTTGAGAGTACAAGTAGTGTTTCCACACTGTGACCTACCCTGCAGTGACTGCTGTCCTGCACTCTGTACAGTCGATGGGCCTCCACCATCCTGTCCACCATGTACTTCTGTTCTCGGGTTAAACTGGCAGACAAAGCCTGGTGAGGATGGAGTTAATAACACACTGGGTTAAATATCACAATGCATATTTAAACACTTATAACTTTCCAGAGAGGGAAGAACTCTCAACTCCTCTAGAGGTTCAATCCACAGCCTGGGCGCAGCGCTAGAAAAGGCTCTATCACCCATACTGACCACTTTAGTATCAGCAGGTTATCCAATCATCCAGTCACAGCAGACCGCAAAATATCTAGTCTTCTACCCAGTGATTTAACCAACATACTCACCAAAACCCCTCTACTCAACCATCTCACTAACCAAAGACTGTGTTCTGAACCATTCAACCAACCACTCAAACCATCTAAGAATATAAACCAGCCAACATCCAACCATAGACTAAACCCACAACCCAATCACACCATAAAAAGAGCCACCCAGCAACCAACCATTACCTAAACATTTTAGCGTGCAACATTTGCACTTAACACAAAATGCAGCTGAGGCTAATGGCAATTCTAAATTATGATAATTCATACTTTGTTGTCCCTCTAGGGGAATTTGTCTTAGGTGCAGTGTTACTGTATAATACTTCCTCTAAACATGCAACAGGAAGACTAATTACATAGATAAAAGCAATTCAACTTAATAAGCCAGTACAACTTATAAAACCAATAAAATAATACTGCAGTAGTACTGTGCATTGTAACAGAATATTCTACATTAAACATAAGACTAACAACTAAAATATTGCACTCTCTGATGTAGATCCTGCTATAAAGTGTTCTGTGACCATGTTCCACCATGTTCAACATGACTGTGGTTCTTAGAATGGTTCAGTCTGCATTTAGACAGTCTGGACAGTCAGCCAGAAGGTAAGCACTTGCATCTAGAGTGAAGGATGTCAGTTGGATCACTTGCTATTTTCTGTGCCTCTAAGCACAGCCGTCTCATATGAAGACAGAGGAGAATGTGGTTCTTTCCTCCCCGTGATCTTTATAACAGTCTGAACACTGGACTTGATTAAATTAAAACAAAATCATCAGTCTCCAGTCTACACCATGAAGTCTAGGTCTGCTGTAGCTGAGAACTGTCTGTGTACACACAAGAATCAATCTGATTTAAGTGGGTGTTACAAATGGCTGCCAAAATCAGTGAACTTCAACCTTTTGGAACATTAAATGTCTATTCCAACTTTCATGGCAATCCATCCAGTAGTTGCTGTGATATTCAGTTCTGGACCGACCAACAGTGTCACTAGTGGCAACCATCCAACAATCCGCAGACTGAGTCATGGTGTCCAGTACCTGTCCAGGTAGCCTGCTGGTAGAGCTGACACTCCTGCTGTCTATGTTCTCCTCCTCCTCCTGTCCTCTGCCTTTACCTCCTTTCCTGAGTCGCTTGGATTGGCACTGCACCTCTGTCAGAAGGCCTGGGGAGGAGCAATATGTCCAAGTCATCAGCCAAATCAGGTAAATGCATAATGTTTTAGGAGACACCGATTACAGTCAACAGTGCTTTGACTTTATCGCATTAAGTTAAACATTTGCTTTTGTGTGGTTGAATTCGATGTCCCTTACACTCGGCCAGCATTCCAACGGCGCGGCACTTCCTCAGCCGGCAGTCTTGGCACTTCCTTCTCATATACATGTCCATCTCACAGCCACCACCACTCTTACAGTGATACACGGCCTTTTTCGTCACACTGCGCCTGAAAAAACCTGCAGCAAGTGCAAAAGAAGGACCAGGTGAAGTTGACACTAAAACAAAATAAATATTAAAAAATGTAAAACTGACTCCAAAGGCAAAGACAGCAGCATAAGAAATACCAAAATACCTTTGCATCCCTCACAGGTAAGAGCATTATAGTGATATCCTGATGCTTTATCTCCACAGACCACACATAGCTCGTCCTGAGCTCTGCCCTTCCCTCCAGACCCCACCCGTGACCTCCGCCCCACTGGCAGTCCGGCTGCTCCGAGCCCCTGAGCCAGGCCTCCACACTGGGGCTCGGGGCTGGGATCAAAGGGAGCCTCTAGGCAATGAGTGCTGTAGTGGTACGGAGGATGGCAGAGCTGCGAGGATGAAAAGGAAGAGGAGGGAGAAGAGGTGGAGGAGGGTGGAGAGCCATAGAGGGAGAAGGGCAGGTTGGCAGGTCCGTACTGCTGCTGGCTGTAAGGGATCAGCTGGAGGTCAGGGTCCTGCAGGGGGTTGCCTGGAGGGTCAGCCAGCATGTCTGCAACAAGAAATAGTTCAGCGAGTGTCACTTTAACACATCCACCACTTCATTGTGGCTTTTGTAGCCAAGTATGTTTGTGCTCAGATTTGTGATCTCATTCAGTTTTGCTTTACAGTATCAGACTTTGGAAGAAGAGTTCAGAAACAGGGTCCAGGCTTTTACACCCAACATTTAAAAAGCACATGAAAAGCGAACTTTTTAGAAAGCACTATAATTGTTGCTGCCCCACTGTCCATTCTATCAAACTCGCTGTTTACCAAAGGATCAGGCTGGTCATTCCCTGTTTTTTACTAAAAATGTGTATATCTTACTTCTCTGTTCCATAAAGTTCAAATGCTGTTCAACGGCTATTAAAAACGCAAGAATGAACCACACCATTACACTGGGTGGTATACTGCTTCATTATTTTGCAGTTTATTTTGAGTCAGTTCCACATACACCGTTCTGCTGCCAGAAATAGTCAGTGGAGTAAATCTGTATTAATCCACAGCAGAAAATAGTCCACCAATGCTCCATATACATGTCTGATTAACATTTGAGAAAAAACAACAGTGCGGAACTGTTTTAAGAACTTACTTCCTTTTTTTTTTTTTTTTTTACTTGAAACTATATAGATGTGTGATGCATTTGAGAGAGTTCCACTTTCGAGAAGAACAAATGGGCTTGAGGGATGAGCGTCACAGACAGTGCAGGGAAGTCAAACACTCCTGAGACAGACTCACATGCTGTTGGTTTTAAGACTGATGCTGCACTGCCACATGTATCCTTACCAAAAATTAAATCTTGTCAGTACCACAAACAGTGGAAGTGTTTCAGACACACACACACACATCTGTATTTAAAAAAAAAAAAAACAATGGAGGGAAGCTGATTGAATAAGGATAACAGGAACATGAATGTACTTCTCAGGCAGCACAGTTGCAAGTCAAAGAGCATCACAAGAATGTGGTCTTACATGACTCATGTAACGTCACTCACTGCTTTTACGGCTCTTAGGGGATACGTGGAAAAACTGAGAGCGAGACCCTGTGAACTTGTTCAGACTGCTGCTGTAACAGGATGCAGCTGAGAGCTCCCAGTGCCATTTAGGATTTGCTGCATGTTTTATTGGCCGCTCGGTGGTGTGACAGCCTGAAACATCTATCAGTGCGTTTTGCAAGTTCTGTTATGCAAGTCCAGTCTCCGCTGAGAAAAGACATGTGGCAAGCACAAGTGGGACAATGCGGGGATTTGTTATGTACTCATCAAAAGGAATAAAGAGGGTGAAGGATGTTTAAACTTGAATATCAATCTGCTTATGTATGTTGGTGCCTTTAAGCTTTGACAAGGTAACCATCCAACCATTCTTGTAGTTCTGTAGTGGTGTTAAGGGGTGCTTCAGTGATTTGATTATAAAGATTCATAGCGTTGCAGGAATCATCACTTTGTCCCTTGAGTGGCTCAAGCTCCAAAAATACCAGATCCTGCACCTCTTTAACAGTTTGTACTATAGTAATACTGCTCTGATAAATGTCCACACCCCCAGTTTGTAAAGCAGGCTTTCTGTTTAAAAAAAAAAAAAAAAAATCACCAGTGAGGGATTACTTCATGGGCCAAAGTCCCAGGTTGCACATGTCCAAAGGCTCTGGGCCCCTTCATCATTTAGTCACGTCATAGATTTCTACAAAATACACTTCCCACACCTGTCCTTCATCATTTTTCAGTTTGTTTTTGGTGTTTTGCCTTTATTTACCAGTCAGCAATGTAGACAGAGAAGTGTGGATGCTGCGGCACCTTAACGGTTAGGATACCAGGGTTCCCTCTTGTGAAAGGACAAACCTTCTGCCCCTCGTATTATCAGGACACAGCCAGCTGTACCCTCCGACTTGCACAAGTCAGAAAAAACATGGCGAGGGCTGGCACTCTGACTGCTTTACCCTTACTAGATTTTTAGCTTTTATCAAAATGATGAAGAAGACAGCCTTCATTTGATTGGACAAAATGAGCCTTTAGTTTTCTTCAAGTGCTGTAGTCTGTGCAGTATGTGCGCCAACAGAACCATCAGTCTAAAGACACTTATTAACCCTTGTATACTCCTTCCTTTTGTCTTCTCTCTCCAGATGTTTCCTGTCTCTACCAGACTGTGGCGGCGTTCGGGGTGGGGGGAGGTCCTTGTTTTCTCGGCATGTGACACAACTGCGGTTTGCACTGTTTGTAAACCATCTGAATGATGTCTAAACACTCCTCAGGCCTCCCATCCATCCCACGCATGCTAGGGAGCCAAACAACACCAGCAAACTACCCCCCATTGCGCCCCCTCAAACTCACAACTCCCCCTCCTCCTGAGTGCAATAGAGGGAATAGACAGTAAATAAATATCTGGCATTCGCTCGACATAAGTGATCATTACAAATTAATTTTAAAAGTGCAAATGATCATTTAAAATCGAAGCAGAATAATAGAAAAGATTCAAAAATTCAAAAGTCTGACCCACTACAATCTAGTTTGCATTAATGCCTACCTAAAGTTTGCTAATGCAACAAACACTGGTTAAGTAAATACTGTAGCAGCAGCACCTCTGAGTGAAACTGAGTCAACTGAGCAACTGTACTGTTTATGAATACAACTTTTCATTTGTAAGAAGTACAATGTGTTTCTCTTTTCAAAGGGTACACATTCACTTTCAGTCAGCAGTGAGCTGATTTAACAGATGACATGTTGGGGGGAAAAGCCACTTTCTTCCAAAGAGTTGAAGAAATAAAACCATCTCAGGCCGCTCTCATCTCAGTAGAAACATGCAGTAGAAACATGTCAATAGGATTCAGAGGTGAAATCCTATTGACATGTTTCTACTGTCTTACTGTAAGTAAAACATTTCAAGTGACTTGTTGTTCAAAGGTGCTATAAATAAACTTGACTGCCATTGTATTGGGGTAAAAGCAGAAATGGAAGAAGTGGATATCTATCCAAATTAAAACCATACATATAGCTAGATACCAAAAAATGTTTTGGTATTTTAGGTGAACTGACCCTTTAAAACTAGAAAAGAATGTGCAGTAGAAAAAAAAATCTACCTACCAGGAAAACCAATGTTACGCAGCATCATTTGAATTCATTTTCCAGTGACTGATGATACTGAACATAACATTCAAATAACACAAGTCACATTTGTCTTGTACTTAAATTCAAGCGTCAGTGTAAATGTATTGGCATCACATTAAGGGAGAGCATGATAAATCCATCTTCAGTGTTGTAGCCCATATTGTTGCTGTTTCTATAACAGCACTGATGTCAACTTATTTTACAGAGAAAAAACTGAAGTAGAAAGAAAAACATAAAAAGCTGCAGAAGCAGCAGCAGCAGAGACCAACTGTCACAGTGGACTCACCGTAGTACTGGAGTTGCTCTGCGGAGCAGTAACCATCCGAGGCGGAGAGAAACCCCCCTGCCGAAAAGCTCATCTCCAACTCAGTCCACTCTCTCATCTGGACAGAAGGTCCTGTCTCTGGCTAGTAATATGAGATCTGTATTCACACACACAAAGACAAGAACTCAAGAGGCTTCACATTTGAAGGATCTGGGAAATGCAAAGGCATTCCTCAATCCCCAGGGTGCGTCCAGGTCTCTTAGCTGTCCAGGCTGATATCCCAGCCTATTTTTAAAAGCAGGGAGAAGGAGTGCAGCTGAGACTTTCACTCTGTGGTGGATGATGTGCTGGAGGAGGTCTTAACCATCCCTGAGGGATAGACGAAAAGGAAAGCAGGGACACCTAGAAAGGACAGGGATGGGACTGTGGTCCAAACAGCTGGACCTGGCAGGAACTTCACAAATCAGACCATATTCCTCATGGGCAGAATGAAGCACACTCAATACTCATAGTGTGTATGTGTGTGTGTTGAGATTTGTCCAGAATGGGTCTGTCCCAGAGTGCAACAGCTGGGCTGGGCAAATTAGGCATTTCTCATTTAACCTGATGAGTTGTACAAAACAATTTGGTGGACTAGATGGTGTTTCTGAAGCTGCTGTCAGCTTAAGCCAATTAAACAAATCCTGCCACTTGCATGTCTGCTGTGCGTGTGTGTGTCCATGTTTGTCCCTTAAGCTTTGTGAGTGTGTTTACTTAGCATTTTGTTTACCGCTGCTCTGTTTGTGCTGCAGTTAATATTGGACAGCAGTTAGATTTAAGGGGCTTGGGGACCTCAGCCTCCCCTACAGATGGTTAACCAGGCCGGGATAGAGCGAGAGAAGTCGAGGCCTGAACTACCCAGAGAAGACAGAGAATTGACCTCGACACTGTAGATCTTTGAACAGGGCTATCTGACATTCAACATGTTTAGTGAGGATTAACGAGGTCCTTCTCCCCCGCATATCATCCCTTTCACTGACTCATTATGGAGCCGGGACTGACTGGTGGATAACAGAGGGCGAGGGAAGAGCCACTCGTGGTCACTGAAGCTGTAGCCTTCACTGAACTGATTAGGACCGATGTGACAAATTAAACAGGAATGTGGTTGCTAACTACGCACTGTCTTTCTTTTCAAGACTATGTCCAAAGGGTAAATTGTTCCGTGATGGTGGCGCGTATGCATGCAGTGGCCCGGGGCCCTTGGCTCCAGACATAATTTCGTTGTACATGTCACAATGTTACAGTGACAATAAATAATGCTTCTTCTTCTTCTTCACGTGCAGTCACACTTCAGGATGACAAAACTGCTTCAAGATGACTTGTACTTTAGGAAAAAGCACAAACTTAAATAGAGCAAATAGATAAAACAGAAATGGCGTCCTACATGTCCAAGACTTTCAATAACATTTGTTGTGATGTAGCTATGTTATTTAGTCTCAATGACATAAATGTGGTGGACTTAAAATGAAGAGGTAGCATATTGTTATTTCTCAGTTAACAGCAGTTTGTCCTGTGACCCATCCCGAGATATGTGGCAAAACAAGCTGTCAGCCATTATTCCTCCAACCGTCTCTGACCTCTGGGGAGTGGATGGAGAACAGCAGGCAGGCCATAGCACTGAGAGTGACACTAAACAATGGGGACAATATCTGAGAGCTTACACATGTTACCATGCATCTCGTTGAGGTGTCACACTGTTGGACATGGGCCTGACTATGAGGGCTCGCCCCAGGGGAGAGGAGTGTCATGAAAGAATGGGGAGAGAAGGGAGAAGGATGAGCGTGTTCACATAAGTGTGGTTAGTTCAACTGGACTCTGGATCGTTCCCTCAGCCAACTGCACCAAGATGCCTGAAAATATGTGTATAAAAACAAAATGTAGTATGATGAGGTGATTTCCAGAAAAATAAAGCAAAGTCTGACATTTCTACATAAAACTAACTTATACAAACCTAACAGAAAATACAGCTAAGTCAGTTGTTCCTATAAGGTTCAGACCAAGAAAAACAAAATAATGGCACATTCGGATTCTTAAACTCATTAGTCCTGAATCACTCACAATACAAGCCTGGAGATAAGCGCAGCACATAATAAATCCTGTTCAGGACGTCCTTTCCATGCAGCCAGCTCCTCTCTTTATCAAAGAGCTGCTGGCTGGTAGCTGCAGCTCGATAATGGACTGGACTGTTTACTGACCCTAGTAGAAAAACTGACGCTCACAGGATTGCGTCGGTTAAATCTATAGCTTAAAGTCTGAGCGTGGGTGAGAGTGCACTTGGGGGAATTTGGCTATCAGAAGGTGGAATGTAAATGGTCCATTGACAGTCATGTCTAAAGGGTTAGTCTGAAACCATGTATTCTGTCCTGTAGACGCTGTTGTGAGACTGGATTTTAAAGGATACTTCTCATACGCCAACCATTTTTAAAAAATATTTTCCTTCTTTTTAAAGGCCGAAAAGAAAAATTACAAATTACACCTTTTAAAAAACCTTTAGCTTTGATCAGTTAGTCCCATTTCAAGACGTGCTGGGTCAGAATGCAGGACATAAGCCTGATCTTCAGGTCAAAGATCACTAAACAACAGCTTTATGTTTCAGGTGTTAGCGAGGAGCAAAGGTTGTGCACTCACCCCTGATAAGCCTTCCTGCTGTGTCCAGTGTCCAGGCGTCTTCTTACTTAGCCCAACTCTCACTTTTTGCAATACTGATTGCAGCCCAGTCTCCATTCTCTGTGTGGGGGGGGGGTGGGCGGGGGGGGGGCACAACCAGGAAAGAACAAAATTTGAAGCGTTTGCATGTATGCCAATAAAAACCACACATCTACCATTACATTTCCCAGTATGGGACCTTTTGGCTGCACTAGGGTTTTGAACTTGGGTGAGTCACAAATGACCCCTGTGCCCCCTGTAGTCTCCTGTTAGTACAAACTGGAATCATCTCATTAAGAAATTCCCAGTACAGTGTATTTATAAACAGCCTCTTGTTCATCCCTGGTGATGGATGGATGCTCCCTATCACTTGCTTTTCCTGCTAACTCCCCAACCTGCTTGACAATCCCACGCGCGACCACCCCCCCCCCCCCCCCCCACCCCCAATACAGACACACTTACTGAACCCATTAATATATTTCTGTACTGACCTTGCTTCCTCAGTGTGTGGGCCCTTACTGTTTAGAGTGCATGTGGTTGTATTATGTGTAAGAGTGAAACAAGATGTGTGCGTGTGTGTGTGTGTGTTGGGGGGGTTATGAGGGAGACGGGTACAAGTAAGAGGCCAGTTGGAAGCTGCTAATGAAGAAAAACAACATGGCTGTCAAGACCTCCCAGAAGCAGGTCAAACACTGTTGAGGTCAGTGAAGGCAAAGGGCCAAAGGTCAACATCAAGGCCGAGACCAGGCCTTGACCTGAGCTGGGACGAAAAACAGTGAGAGGTGAACAGAGTAAACTGTCAGGAAGGGGGAGCTATCAGGGTGTTATTCTTCTCAAGAGGAGCAGTTATGGTAAAATTCATAAGTCAGATTAAGTAAAAATAAAAAAACAACTGGAACACCATGACAAGAGGAACTGGGCCAATTCTAAACGACTCAGTCAAGACTTTACCACAAAAGAAAGGAACAGAAAAGGTGCTATTCATTAGTTTAATGTTTACAGTACACTGACCCAGCAAACATATTTAACATTTCTTAAAATACAAATGTTTGTGTCAAAATGTGCAAAAACTAATGAAATCAAAATGTGTAAATTACAGAAAATATTATCACCACTGCAAATAATGAAACTATAGGATTACAATTGATAAGCTACCTAAAAGTTTTTTTTATTTTTTATACTGGCACATAAACATCAATAATTATTGAGTAAATATAATTTACACTTGATGTTTTTTCCTTTTCTGATCACACACACACCACTGAATTTAAAACCTCAAGAGCCAGAAAAACAAAAGATTCAAGTTAGAGGAGGTATTCTGAAACACTGTAAACAAGATCACGCAGTGAGATACGGCTTAACTGTCACGCGTTTAACAATTTCAAGAATGCCAGAATAATTTTAGAGAAACTGCTGTGTGGTCTGTCCACCTCCACCAGCAGGTTTCGGATATCTATGGAGGTCTACCATCTGACTGTAGCTGTGACCTAATACCAGGAGGAGTTTCCTTCCATGTCAAAAACCTGAAACCCTCAATCGACCCTCGCTAACAATGAGAGCAGTGGGTCGCATTAGTGTGAGTGAAGAACCTAACCTGTTACTGCACTATTCAGATAAAATCACAGTAAACATTTTAAGATGTCTATAATTTAAAAAAAAAACACTTAAATGTACAATTTTTCATTCTGATTCTGTGTTGGAAATGTGATTTTGAGGGTTCCCTGGAAGCGTGCGTGGCCCACCAGCACGCTCGGTGTAACTTAGCTCCTGAGCAGAGGTGCTGCCTCAGCACTGTCCACCTGCAACGGAGCTCTGCGGTAAATGATGAACTGGATGGTAATCTGAACCACAGCGTCAAGGAAATCAACACAATGAGCCTGTTTATTAGCAAGCCTGCTACTGGCAGAGCATTTCACACAGAACAAACAACACATGACTAAAGCCCCTTTTCCACCGCCTGGTACCAGCTCAGCTCAACTCGCCTTATTTGTGTTTCCATCAGTAAGATAGTACCTGGTACAATCAGTGATGTGTGAACACCACAGACTGGCGATTGGTCAGAGAAATCGTGTCATCAACATGCGACGTCCTGGAACAAAGAAAGCGCCTTTTTTTAAAAGCAACGTTATTTAAACATTATTTACTTTATTGTAGTTACTGTGCTAACTAAATACAGTCACGTACCGAGAATCAAGAACAGCATACCTTCTATGTCCTCCTTTGTTACTGTGCCAGTTGTTGACAATGTCATGGCAGTGTAATGCGGTGTTGCTATGACAACCAGCTGCCCTGAGAGGCGACCATCTGCAGTGGAAAACCAAGCACCCGGTACCAAAATCGATGAACTCGAGTCAGTACTCCCTTTTGATCCCAGCCCCGAGTCGAGTAGGTGATGAAAAAGGGGCTTAAGATGAAAAGGGAGATATTTTGTTTCATTTCTGTCAAGCTCATTTGACCATGAAGTGATGAAATATGCCATAAAATAATTGTATTTTTCATTCTGAATTGCAGACAGTGACTCCTATTTATGTGCTGCACAAGCGTAAACCACCAATTGGGCAAAGTGGGCAACTGCCCTTGGGGCTCAGTGGGTTCACTGTGTGCCAATTTCCTTTCCTTTTATTTTTGATAGTTGTCAATTGTGTTGAGGAATTATCACCACTAAAGCACAATATCAACTAAACTGTGTCCTGCATTACTACATTGTTCACATGGTACATATTAAAGTAGTGTTTATGCAAAATAGCAAAACCCATTTAAAACACCAAGTGACAGAATTACTACAGCCGTGCCGTACTTGCTGATCTTGGAGATTCTGTGCATTTAAGGAACCTGCCATGAATATTCTGTTAGTAAGCACTGAACTTTTCACTTATCTGCTAAAAGTCTGATTAGAAAAGTGATGAAGCAACTTAAGTTACGTACTGTATTTATTTTTAACAGTTTTAGGTGCTGCTAAGTTGTGGAAGCCAATGCAATGTAATTTTGTTCTATTGTCTACCTAACTGGGGCAGCACAGCAGCAGAGTAAGAAAGAAGGTTCCGGGTTCGAGCTCGGGCCGGCCCAGGGCCTTTCTCTGTGTGTGGATTCTCTCTGGGTACTCTGGCTCCCTCCCACAGTCCACAGACATGCAGCTTAGGCTGATTGGTGGCTCTAAATTGCCAGTAGGAGTGTGAGTGTGTGTGGTTGTTCGTCTACATGTCAGCCCTGTGACAGACTGGCGACCTGTCCAGGGTGTACCTCGTCTCTTGCCCAATGTCAGCTGGGATTGGCTCCAGAGCAAGCAGCTGGAAACTCCAGCCTAACACTTTTGTGGGGTGTAGCTTTTATAAAATAGAGTGTCTTGCCTGGCAACAACCTGGTTTCCTTGTAAGTGTTTGGACCTTTGATACTGTATATTGTGATACCACACATGCAGTCATGAGGCCTTGACCGATGAGCGGCCCTTTGCCTAAAATATAGCATGTACATGGAATTAAGGAGAACCAAGAGGCATGGCAGCAGTGGCTGTTTGTGTTTTTAAGGATACAATGAGGTCAAAGGAGAGGGTACCAAGACTGCCAATGAGCCAAGGCAAGTGATCAATCAGGTAACTGCTTTCACTCTGGCCTTCTTTGGGGTTCTTCAATAGGATACTCAGGCCATATGTGGTGTTTCCCAGGATGACCAGTGCAAAGAGGAAGTAAGAGACTCCTTCTGTTGATTTCCTCTTGAACTGTGGGGACAAATGAAAGGACAGGAAGGGAAGTGGAAGGACTAAAAACCTTTTTTAGACAAAATAGAATATGCCTTACACAGCCAACACATATTTCCCACCAGACTATGTGCAGTGATATGTGAGACTGCAAAAGCCAAAGCATCCTTCACGTTGTCAGTGGAATACATCACCTTGCAGTTTTTGCCTGCTCAGTATTTAGGTATAGTGAATTTTTCTTCTCTTGTGCAGAATTAAATATACATCAAAACAACTTGTAATGCATTTATAGCTTTTATCTAAAGTTATTATTTCACCTGCTGCACCACCTCATCTGATTTGTCTTTAACCAAAGTTTTAACTAGCTTACCTGCATTTAATTTGAATTACTGATGGATAGCTTTTCAACTTTTTCCTCATAGATCAATGAGGTCTTATAATTATATAGTATTTTTCTTTGTATTAATCTGGCTATGAAAAGTGACTAAAGTTTAAAAATAAATGCAATGGAGTAAAAGTACAATATTTGCCTCTAAAATGTAGTGAAGTGTTAGAATTGGATTTCAGGAGTTGCAGTTGTTTTATTTACTGTTAGTATTATTTTGCTTTTATAATGATAAAGTTTAGTATGACTGTTTGTGTTTTATTAGCAGCATCATGTATCAGTATTAACCTGGCTCTTATACATGCATAATAGTAATAATTTTCAGCTGTAGTTCAACTTGTAGTGTTTCTTATTTTCTTGGATAATTGTGCAAGAGCAGATTGCATAGATAAGTGTCCTGACAACTCAAGATAAGACAGTGTTAATGTATGCTATTTTACAGACATGGAAGTATGGCAGTTTTTTACAACAGAATTAGGGAAGTAAGTGGCACAGCTAACTGCATGTCCATTTTCAGTTAGAAAGAAACGCCTGAAAATAGAAGATAACAACATACACACACACACCTACTGCCTATATGAACATTCTAGAATGTTGACGTATAACGTACCACCCATGTACAGGGCAGTCCCAGCCCGAGAAGATAAATGTAAACGTTTTGTGATAATCAATGCTCTTGGAGACTTGTCATCTCTCAGAGCCCAGCGTTGTAATAACTCTGCATCTAACCAGAAGAAAATAAATCTACTTGAAGCTGATTCCTGTATCCTGAGTGTTACTTCTTGGGGCCTTCAGACAAAAGAACCGGGTTAAAACTAAAAGAAGTCAAAGTATGAAGTAAGAAAATAAAAATACTCAAGTACAGATACCTTAAAATTGTACTTAAGTACAGTACTTGAGTAAATGTACTTAGTTACTTTCTACCACAGTTTGGAACAGAAAAAAAGTGGAATTAATTTGTGATTAATCGCCCATAGTTAACTATTTTAATCGGCTGACAGCTCTAATTAATATCTATCTGTTAGTACAACAAGCATTGCTACTGTCAGTTAACGCCTACCACACACAGTATACAGCTAATAATGCCAAAGAATTAACGCATTTTTAGAAGAAAGTTCTTTGTCATACTCACATTAGTGTACATCTGGGGGAGTCTGGAACAGAGGTAGAGCACTGATGAAACTGAACCGATGGCAAAGCCAATTATCTTTTTAGAGCTAAACGTCTGAAGCAACAGAGAGGCAGACACAGCATTAAACCAGACAGGAAATGCTGACAAGTTCACTTCCCTCAGGTCACTAGTTACAAAACAGATAGGACTCACCTTGTCTGAACCAACATCTGACACTGAGAGCAAGGCACGACTTCTGAAGCCAGTTGGAAGAGTTTCCTGTTGGATGCCTAAACCGGGTAGGTGGGTGAGGCTTGTGAAGCCCAGGATGCAGGTTATACCAGCCATATATAAAACCATCCTGCCTGAAGAAGAGACAGCATCTGAGTTCACAGTTAATATTGGGAGACATACAGTATATTAGCATTTTCTAACAGACAAGGGTAACTGTGTCAAAGATGGCATGTGATGACATCATTGCACGGCCCAGGGATTACCCTGTTCCAGAGAACTAATCTTCTATTTGGCAGCTGTTAAACAAAACTAACAAACCAAAACACTCACTTTCAGCCGTTCTTTTCCTTAGCTTGTAATATAAGAACATGCTCAGCATCACTAGGTCTGCCAGAACATAATAAACCGCTGTGTACGTCTAGACAGAGAGAAAGATACACAAGACAAGTCAGAGATGAAGGAAAACTTTCATTTTCTCTATATCAAAGTCTTTATAATGGAAGCATACAGAGGTGGCAAATTAACAGATACATATCCATTACTTATTCTTTAATTTGTCAACCATCTATATTAGTTCCATGTATGTGCAATACTTGTTAAATTATGTGCAAACAATAATTACTTGGTGATAACTCTAAAAACATGACCATTTGTTTGCTTTTTTTGTCATAACATTACAGAGTACATGCTTATAATGCCATTTCCCATTGGTTCTACAAATTAAAAGACTAAGAAATTGATCAAAAACACTAATTTTCAGATTAATTGATACCAAATACCCATTCACTGAGGCAGTTATTACATCACAGCAAGTCACCTGAAGTGGGAGCTGTTCTGCCAAGAAGGAGCCCACCAGATTGCAGGAGTCACCTCCCAACCACAGCAACACAAACCAGATAGAGATCGCGCTGTCCATATTCCCTGTTTTGCATGACTTATAGTACTGTCTGCAGTCAGAAGAACAGACAAAATTACAGATGGCATTCAGGTAAAGGAGCACTTCCTCTGAGAGGCACAGACAGCACCACAACACTTACGGCATTGAAGACACCATGAAGCAGACAATGGACAGGAGGCCCAGGTAGACACTGGCCATATCCCTCGCATCCTGGGCACACTCCCCAAGGCCTTCCCATACCCATTTTGTCCCATTAGGACACAAAGAGGTGAAGTTGCCTTCAGTGGTCCATCCCGAGAAGCCTCGTGTAAGGACTCCATCTGGCCACATATTCTGCTGGAAGAAAAAAAACCTATGTAAAAGCCACTTCGTCTAAACAAAACATCCTTACCTTACATTTTCATTTCTGACATCGACAGCCTATACACAAAGTTTACAATAAACCACAAAATGAAAATGGCAAAAATATCTCACCCATATATGCGAACAAACGACGCGTTCAACGCTTCATCATCAAAATCAGCCACATTCAGCAAAAACGGCATCACGTATGAACCACAAACGTCGAAAAAAGACGACGATAACGGGGTCAAAGGTTGTTGAACACTTAAAAACATCAATAGCAGCCTGTAAGATACACATTCTGCTAATGTTGGGTCGATTAAATCAAGTCAAATGATGGTTAAATGAAGTGGCTGTGTGTGTAGCTACATTTATATACTGGGTAACACTACAAAACACACTTTGGTCACACAAATACACTCTACAGAAAACGAAACCGGGGACTAAACAAACCCAGTTGTTCGTTAGCCACTCTGCTGGCTAGCCGCGACAACAACTATCAATAAACAAACAGCTGGATCCAGGCTGTGGCTTTCACATCGGAGACGTCTAAAACACTACTCAGCTGAAAATGAACAAAACGTTTGTCTTGCCTGTGTGGTCGATGACATTCCTGTAAAGTCCTTAGCGCCGCAGCAGCTGCAGCAATAACAACAAACCTCTGGGTAATACACAGGAAAACAGGGACTGAACTGGGTCAGCGTCTATGAGCCGATTGGTCGCTACGATGAAACGTCACTGAAAGGGAACCAAAATTACCACGTGACTGTCGGTGTTGTATCGATACGAGTTCCCCCCTATAGCTCAACCCCGATGTGCCACAAAGCGATTACGGTCCGCGGGAGCGCGCGCAGCCTGTTAAAATGCATGCACCCCAACCCCAAATCATATATCCTAACCATAAAAACCAACAGAGACTCTTTAGTAAATGCCGTTCTTAACGAGGGGAACACATCTCAAGGGGGGCACGCTGTCAAGAAAAATACCCTTTTCTCTTTTTATATCATATAGCAGCTAAGTCTAATTAACACAATACTGTACCTTGCCAGAGGTTTTCTATCAAAGACGTCATGTAAGGTGACAATCAATATTACTTATTAAAAACAGTGAAATAAAAAAACCTGCCCCCATTTTCCCTCAAGTCCCTAGTACCTAATAAAGTGACCGGTTAGTGTATGAACATGCATTTATCAATCTGCAGGATAAATACATAAGAAATACAGTGTACATACATAAAACACATGTACCCGAAAACATTTTTAACAACTGGAGCGGCATAGCACTGGGATTAAATAAGAAATGTAATTGTTAGTGGTTGGGTACCCATGGATAACTGATCTATACTGTCACAATCACTTTTAGAATCAGACAGCTAATAGAGTGGACACATTTGTAGCAGTGTCCATTCTGTCATACTCACATTAGGGTGCATCATGGGGAAGTCTGGAACAGAGATAGGGCAGCTGACGGCACCGGACCAATGGAAGTAGTCTCTTTAGAGGTAAAAACCTGAAACATCAGAGAGGCATACACAATGTTACACCAGAAAGAAAATCAAGACATAACTATATCACTTCCCTCGGGTCGCTATTAAATAAAACAGGACTCACCTTGATAGAACTAACAACAAAGGTTGAAAACAAGACACCACTTAGGCCTATTTCTGAACCCAGAAGAGAGACTAATCCAGAGAGGTGAGTGAGGTTTGTAAAGCTCAGCATGCACCAACCACATATAGGACACTCCTGCCTGGAGAGGAGACAACACATGGGATAGGCTACATCCCAGTTCCCTCAAATGCATCTTTTCCTTTGCTCTTAGTCCTGCCAGAGTAAGATGCAAGGAAAATATGAAAGGAGAGGGGAATCGAGGAAACACGTTCTACAGACATGAGACGTCTTTTCCTCCTTCCAACCACCAACTCATATCCAATAAGGAAGCTAAATGACTTAAGCGAAAGATCACCTAAGGGAAAGTGGATGTACCCCTGGGTCCAAATTTAATAATGGGAGACTTAACTTATGGCTGTAGGTTATCAAAGGTCACCAGTAAGGAAACACATGCCACAGGAATATTAGGCATGTGATGGCATCTTACAAGGTACAGAGATTACCCGTTTGGTCTGTGTGGTTGACGCCAAGAACAAATTTTTATGCCCCAATCCCATGGCCCTTGGAAGGTAATGTGGCCATGATTTGTCAGAAAATGACATTTTATGGAACAAAACGACCGATTTCTTGTAGACATACTTCACACTCAGATTTATTATAAATTTTAAGCATGAAAAATAAAACTATGTGCGTCAAAACATTCATGATCTACAGTATATCAATGTAGGCTCTAACATTTTCTAGTAAAATGTTCATCAACACCGTGGCTCACCTCACGTTAATGTTACTTTTCTCTGCAACCTGCAGACCTTGATACTACAGCGCTCACACTTTTCACATATTGTCATCACATATCAACAACCCTTGTTAACCTGGATTCATTCACTCCTCGTGGTAATTATTAGTACTGGAGCCCCCTGCATCCGTGTAAAACTAAATAGTATCCAGATCCATAAAGGTTAATATTCTCACTCGGTGAACTTTAATGCGGGGTCTGCAGAAGAGGAAATGTCTCCTTCACAAAAATTCTTATTCCCAAGATAAAATAGACTAGACAGCTTTAGCTGTTTGTGACACTTACACATTAGGTTACACATAGGCCACTATATCCAAGGACAATTGACAGGAGAAAGCATGTCCTACCTGTAAAATCCAACGCCAGACTGAATGCCAAGGTGAAGAGGTATATTATTTCCGAAGCCGCTGAGGTTATTGTGTCAGCTGACCGTGTGTCAGACTGACGACTCAGCACCCAGACCGTGCTGATGTCAACTGGTGAGCTTGTATTTTCTAGTTTGCTCCAAGGAAATGTTTCCTGTCCTCTCGTGCTTGTCGTAAACGTTGGCGCTGTGGACACGGCTTTATAGAGAGATTATAAGATACGAGATGAACCCGGCAACTCAGCATTTTTATTTTATAGTCAGCTACTGCCGACTTTTGTCAAAGACCGCAGCAGTTGGTGTCTTCCGGGACCTAAAACGAGGAAACGTTTCACATTTACGCGCTGTACAATATCTCACTGTCCCATTTGTTTATAATACCTTCTACTGACTGTACATTGGACCCAGCAGTGGGAGAAAGTACATTTTTGAGGCATCTGTACTTTAATTTTGTGCTGCTTCAAACTTTATTGATGTCCGGTAGAAAATTAACAAGCTACCCAGCAATCATTCAAATTTTAATCATATGTGCCAGTTAAACCTAGCTCCACCTTTACCAGCTGCAGCACTACATGTAATAAGGCAATTATTCATCAGTAATTGTAATCAAAACACATAATTTAATGTTAAATGTGTCATTCTATATAGAGTACTTTTAGTACTTTGTTTTGAAGCTAATATGTTGGTACTTTTAAGTAACATTTTGAATGCAGGACTTTTACTTGTAACAGTATTTTACAAGATTGTATTGTTACTTCAACTTAAGTATGGGATCGGAGTACTTGCACTGCTGGGACCTAGAACATGATGGCTGTTGAAAATACAGTATAGGCTAGCAGAATTGCTAAATGTTACTTAAAATGTAGGAATTAAGCAGTACTGACTTTGTATATACCCATGGTACTTGAATCCAATTGGTCTTTTTCCACAAAAATACTGACAAAGCACAACAATGATGGTTGAATTCCAGTCAGCTGGATTCTTCAGTTCTGGGGTCCTGATATTGTACAAGCTGCTTTACTGTCGTGCTCATGAAGCACATAACTGAATCATAGCCATCCTTAATGTCATTGGTGACACCTTTCATACTGTGACAAGTCAAATGTCTGCTGCTATAAAAATAAAAGTAAAAAAATCTGACGTCTGTGCATATTCTCAGTCATCCAGGTCATAGTAAGCTGAAACACCACCGAGGGGGATAAATATCTCCGGCTCAACACCGGTCAGTCAGAGCTGATGGCGCCTCTTGGATGAGAGGTGAAACGTCTTCGACCTAGAAATCTAGTCCAGTTGATTTTTCCAAGGTTTTTATTTATTTTTTTTCCAGCTAAAAAAAAATCTGACCTATTTTTTTTTACCCTGTTCATTGTTTTCACATGGAACGTCAGTAGAACGCAGTCCCAGTGAAGACTGTTGACTATGAGGTCTGTAGAATAATGGATGTTGGTAAATTTTACAAGTATATTTTCTGCAGCGGGTTTAAACAAAATTCCATCCACCACTCTTGCGATCGCATCAGGGCAGACATTCTGAAAGATGGACAGGCAAATTAAACCGACACTGGCTAGATGCCAACAGGGGTGTTTGACAAAATGCTTCTGTAAGAAGCATTTTGCTCCCTGGGCACCCTAAACCTACTCCACACCACACAATGTCTTTGATATATCAAGAAATGGTTTTATTGATGACGCACCCAAACATCTATACCATAGGAATACCTTCAATGGGTTAGATTCTCTTATTTACACAATGCTTTCACAAAGTCATACAAATACTTGGTAGGTTTCATGTCAAAGTATAGATATAATACATCAAACAGAACAGGGGATTGAATTTTTTTATAAAGTAATTGTCACAACAACCTACAAATGAAAATGGATAAAAAGAAATGACCAATCGCTAGCTACTGCAAAATAGGTCCTACTTCAAAATCTGTACAAGCAAGTTGTCAGGTGCCCCATGATTTAAGGAGGAAATAGATCTCTTCCGTGTTTGTCCTTAGTGTTCACAACAAGGCAGTCATCTTATGTAGCTGACAGTAATTCTTTCAAAGGCAAGAATGAGATAAGCCAAGCAGTGTGTACAACAAATCCTGTCCTCCTTGTTTGCTGCCTCAAACTAAGGAGAAGCATGGGATGTGAGGAGGGTTTTCACTTCTCATTTCTTTTGTGGTTGTTTCTTACTTGATGTGAACGGCTTTCTCATCAATTTTTAACCGCTTGCGTCTGGGCTGAATGACGTCCTCCTCAGAATCGTCCGTGTCATCGTCCTCCTTTTCCTTTTCACCCAAGGACTCGGGTTCAGGTGTTTCAGGGAAGCTTTGCCCTGGAAACAACTCCTGCAGCTTCTCTTCAAAGTACAGACTCACCGCCTTGCCAGATACCGCCATCTCTGATCCTGCCTGCCAGAGGAGGAGGAAGGGGATGGGAGGAGAGTGATATGGAGGAAGCAGGTGTCAGGGTTCCATTGAGCAGGAGGAATAATGGGTTGAAGCAGGGAGGAGGAAGAGGAGAATGAGGAGACAAATTAGAGCAGGTTAAGATTCTTGGTGGCAGGGTGGCCTGGCTCAACCTTGTTGTACAGAGATATCCTGCTGCCCCATTCCACTGCGGCTCCATGAAGCATTCCCACAGTTCAGAGTTAATAAATCTGATTTCAAATGCTTTCATACAACGGAAGACTCAGTGGATCAGTAGAGGTTACAATAAATTATTTGTATAGTCAAGCTGAAAACCTTCACCATCAGTTAAAACAGCATTTTTAGTACCACTGACACACCAAAAGCACTTCTGTAGATGTTAGGCTACGTGAAAAGAAAAGCTTCAGCTCGACATATTTCCCCATTTCCCAACAGACAGCGCTATAAACACTCAATATAAATTTAAGAGCATGTTCAGACCAGGACTGCTTTTCAGATTCAGTATGAAATTTCTTATTTTATAGGCTACTATAGTACTACTAGCCCCTCTATAGATGCAACCTCCTGTATGATTGTTCCTTGACCCTCACTCAACCTGGAAGTTGTTCTGGTAAAGCAAGAATCAAGGACGCCCTAAGACTCATATCTGATCTGAGGAGAGCGTTTCCTTGAACCCCCCTTTTTCCCCTCACAAATTTTCCTGGGTGGGACTAAGACACAAGGAAAAGGCAAGCAGTAGTGTACCCTATGAGATACGAACCCGTGGCCCCCAGATAATTTGAGCTCCTTTGTTCTGCTACATTATCTCTGCTGGCAATAAATAACTCCACAGCTCACTGCCATAAAGTCTGAACTAGCGGCTTCAGTCCCATGAGCTTGCACATGCCAACAGAACAGGGGTTCTTACCCAAGTGTGAGTCAACTGACCATCATTCTCACTAAAAAGTAACCCAAAGACCACTGCTGTGGGGTGGCTACACCAGATGGGCACCATTTTAATCCTGAAAGTCACCATGGCCTTTATAAACTTTATATATTTGCATGAATTTGATTATTCACAAATATCGGTAAGTAATACTGTACATGGAAACAAGTTTAAAATGAAACTGAAATTAAACCTTAAATAAAAAAAATAAAGTGAAACTACATTATTGAATGCATGATCATGGACTACCTCCAATGCCTTCAAGTACCACCTGGGGGCACAGAACACTGGTTGAAAACCTCTGAAATAGAAAGATATCAGAGCCAGTTGTCCTTTGGTCCTATAAAGCCTACAACATTAAAATTAAGTCTGGGCTGGTGCTTATGTGCAGCTGTTTGATTAAACCATTCTAAACTTAAATGAACCAAATATTATGAGAGGCTGTGCAAGCTATCTTACATTCTCCTGTCACACAAATATACTCACTCATATTTATTGCAGACGTTACTTTTAAACACATGCATTTTCACTCGTATCTATACATTTTTACTTCTGAATATATACAGTGCGTTTCACATCGGTGTTCTCACTGCAGCAGAACCTTCTGCAACACGGTTTCACCAATAGACTAATAATATATGAGACCCAGAATTAGTTTGCATATCCCTTAATAAAACAGAAAACATCTACTTTATATTTTATATCTTAGAATCACCGTTTCTGTGGTCAAATCACTAAATACCACAGGACAGGAAGGCTGTAATGTATCACACCGATCTTACTGCCTTAATCTTTACATTTCTTTCAGTTTAATCTAAATCAGTTTTTCTTCTTTGTATAGTTTGAAACAGTAAGACTGCTAATGTCTATTACATGTGAAGTCTCCATGTTCAGATGAAGGGCAACAACATTTCGTGGAGCCTCAGCGGGATGGGACAGGACATCCGTGCTCTATTTGAAACGGCTTACCTGTGTATTAATCTGTTTCTCCTCATCATAAACCTGGATTATTCGAGACATCTAAAAAGGGGCAATAGCATTACAACAAAGACAGTGAAGCAGCAAGGGGGAAGAAAAGAGTTCACAGCACAGGCAGGTTAGACAATAACAGATCAAAAATCTGTTTACAGCCTACTGTGCTCAAACCTACAAGGTGTGCATCACCACGCAGTTACTGAAGAAATTAACAGCAAGTAAAAGGTCCATACAGTTACATTTGGCCATGTGGAACTACAGGGACCACGTGTTAATTTTAGGAACCCATCTAGTTCACTTTTCTGTAGCACATTTTCTATATTTTCAACGGTGGTATATAGAGATACTAGTGCACATTACCTTTATTTTTAAAGACATTTTCTGTTTCACCAAAAACACAAATATGTCTGATGTTACTTCAAGACCCCGTCTTAAGAAACACATTATTTAAGGTTCAATATGTTAGCATGTGTCAAAAATGTGTTTGTAACTAATAATCAGAGGCATGAATCAATCATAGATCTTATAACTGTAGCTGACTGAAAATGTATTCCATCAAACCGTGTCATTAGTGCTGCCACCCTGCAAAGCTCTCCATCCAAACTTCTGATAGCATTGGTTTATAGGCAGAATTTTCTTGACAGGGTCAGCATTTAAGTCAGTGCAATAAGAATTGTATCACAGGTTTTAAAGCCTCATGTTCTGGAAGACATATCAATGTAAAAGGCTCAATAATGAAAATCTAGATGTGTTGCCATGGATAGTACTTGATGTTACTACCAACTTACTAAAGTTGCATGAATAATAATTCACTAATTAATGACTTAGTTAGTTGAAGGTTTGAGTAATCTAAGTGCAGTACAATGATGTCCTGCTTAAATGTACTGTTATGTTTACTTATGCAAACTAAATTAAAAGATGTACACAGCATTACCAACATCCTTCTCTAGTAAGAACCCTGCTTGCTGTTAATTTTGGTTTGAGAATAACATTTGCTTTGTGTGGTCATCCTGCAAGGTTCTGAGACTTTATGATCAGTATTAGAGAAGTAACATCTCTGGGTGTACTAACTACCAGACATTGTTCACTTCTTTAAAAAAAAAAAAAAAAGCAAAAACTCCCTCATGTGGTTGGAGGGTGTAATACATGAGCGTGTACAGTACACAAACTATGTTCCAGAAAAAGAAAAATGAGTAACCACATTAGCAACAAAAACAAATGCATTCATTATACTTGAAAATCCAACAATCCCTTAAAGAATGTGCATAAAGATGACATGAAACAAAGTCACCACATCCATCCACTGTGTGATTTGTCATTGCAGCAGTGTTAACAGGGTTCAATCTGTTTCTCGAGCCAGTGTGATGAAAGCTACGCCTTGACACACCATCCTCCAACAGCCAGCGTTAGTACAGTGAGTGTACAAAACCATATGCACCATACATGTTGTAAGCACCACTTTACACCTCCTTATCCAGCTTAAGTCTTCACATTAAGGTTAGACTAATATATTGGTCTGCCAACTCTGGCCTCATTGAAGAGATACATAGTGTTTTACTTAATGATTGCATTGTTCACTTATGTGTCTGTCAATTTGTTTTTAAAGGCCTAATAGCCTTTTATACAATGACTCTATGCTTCTGAATCTGCTTCAACCCATACCAGTCTAACCCATGTCTGCATGCACACACATGAGCAGGTGCCATTCCCTGAAGCAGGCTCAAGACTCATGCTGCTCACCTCATTGTACTTGGCACAGTTTTTGAAGACCAGGCGCATATTGGACACAAACTCCTGTGGGGACTGGTAATACTGGGAGCTCCGCAATTGCAGCTTCTTCTTCACCTTCTTCAGGTCCATAGGCTGCTTGATGATCTTGTAGTAATTGGGCACCTAGGTTAAACAAAAGTGGATCAAACTACATCACTGTTTCACAGGATGGTGAAAAGTTTGTCTGACTTGTAAATGAAGAGGATACCACAGCTCACAGTCTGGCAGAAATAACAGAAACACTGAAATCAGAGTTCAGATCAAAAAGGTGGGGGAGCTGAATTTTAGGTTTTGGGAAACAATGTAACCTTTTGGTGCTTTTAGGAAAGTTGGAGATTTTTGACATAGAGTGGGAAGAATTACTCAAAGGAAGCAGAAAGGAAAGACTGGTGGTGAAAGGTTTCTGGCAACTGGTCAGATCAAAATGAGCCGCAGCATACAGACACTTAAAACAAAAGCATTGCCTTGCTACAACATGCATTTAAACACAGTCATCCACAACGATGTAGGGTACTGTTTATCACTATATAGCTTTGGAACATCAAAATCTCCCATATACACTGGCATACATCAAGTTAATTTGCAGTTGCTCATCCCTTCTCAGTAACGGGACAATGCCATCGTCCATCGCTAACAGACATCACAATGGTGAGCTGGCATCGTGGCCATGGCAAGCCGGAAATGAGCATGTCATGGCCACCTCAAGTTTAGGGTTGGTAGGGGTGGGGGAGGAAAAAAAAAGAAAAAAAAACCCACTTCACATTAAAATTACAATTCATATCTTCTATGATTCCAAATCAATTTACAAATCCCAAAAATTGATTTTTTTTTTTTTACATTGTCAAAACAAAAAGGTGGAACTCAGCTACAGACAGTGCATACATAAAAGAGTTGTGTTGTACATATATGGTTGTAACGTTCATTCATCTTCAAAAAAGCAAATAATTTCAACATGTGTTAATGCCTTGATAGTTAGCTTTGAAAGAAGTGTGGACGACTGTGGTAATACTTCGTAGCCCATCACTAACAGACTGAAGTTAGCAGAACAGAGAACGTAGTAACAAACAAGAACAGCTCAGTGACACATTACAGCACGTCAGTCAGACTGGTGGGACAAAGTAAAGGCCACATAATTTTTGAATCGAAAAATCATTCTGAATATAACCGTGACACCAAGAATCTGAATCGAATTGAATCATGAGTTTGCCAAAGATCCCCACCTGTAAGGGTTAGGTTAAGGGCAGAGAAAGGGTTAGGTTAAGGAAAGTAGGGGTTATGAGAAAAGTTAGCACGTCTCTAAGTCAATGCAAAGTCCTCACGAGGAATGAAAACAAACATGTGTGTCGGGGAGAGCTACTTACAGAGCTAGGAACAGGTTCCCTAAAGCCCACACTGAGCTCATGACAGAAGATGTACAGCAGGAGGCGTTCACATCTCTGCACAGAGAGGAGGAAAGAATTAGCTGCTTCATACTAGTCATTAAGCGGTCCCCTGAGGATGTGCTGGATATACAGACCCTTTGGTCCTCGGGACTCAGGGCCTGATCTCCTTTGTTTTTCCTGTTGTCATCACAATACTCTATCTCAGGGTTGGTTAGACTCCGGCAAAATGTGCAGAGGAAGTCACCCCTGGGACACAATTTCACACAGGGAACATTGTTAGTATCTCATTTTGTTTATCCTTTAAATTGAATTGTCAATTAACAGCAGCCAAAGCCAAATATTTCAAGAACATCAGAACATTCTGAATAATATGGAATGGTGTATTTAGGGGTCTGTTTGTGGTTGTGCTTGTGTGTGTTTGTATGTTTCAGAGTCCCTAAATGTTAGTGTTCCTAACAATAGCAATAACACTAGATTCTTCACTGACAAAATAACCACACTGGTCAGATACTAATACACTTGGAGGTGTGTGTGTGAGAGTGTTGTGGCAGTGTGCAACAGCAGTCAAAACTGTTATAAGAATAATAAAAAAGGCGCCTAAACTGATCACTTACTTTGGGAAGATTTTTATGGTAGGTACATGGCATTTCATGTGAAATACTTTGGGACAGTGGTCACAGCACAACAGGTCACCACCGTTAATACAAACAGCACACCAGTCTTCATTAGGGTCATCCTCTTTGCCATCACGGTTGCTTATTCCAGCAGATGCCTCACTCTCTTTGGCCTCTGTCCCCTTGTCTAAGTTTCCATTGGTGAGCGGAGGGGCTGCTGTGCTGCTGTTGCCATTCTCGGTTGACAGCGAGGTAGTGGAGGTCATAGTGGTAGCAGAAGATGATGACGTGGCTCCACTGGAACCATTTAGTCCAGAACAAGAGGTCTCAGACTGGGGTTCGGTTTTGATACGCTCCCCTAAAGCTTTGAGAGCATCTTGGCCTGCAGCTGTGGCCACTAATACAGGGTGGGGGCTATTCTCAGGACTGCTCATCTGGGGGAGGGGGACAACATACAAAAATATTAGCACATTGTCATGGTATGAAGATCTTTACCATTTGTGTCTTATTATTTTCACAATTTCAACAATTTACTCCGAGTATGAAACCCCAGAAATGTCCCTAAAAGGTAATCTGATAAGTAAAAAGTCAAGTAGAATATGCTGTGGAAATCAATAAGGAGGCTCTCAGGTAGTCGTTCTGTAATTTATTAAACAAATCAGATAATAGCATAAGACAATACCAGTGTCTTGATCAGGAGGTCACAGACAGTGCAAAGAGTCAGTGAGCAACAAAAGAGAGAGGTTACAGTCAGATTTTATATAACATCAGTCAAGCTGGAAACAATCCGAAACGTGTCTTTGGTATGTGGCCTTCATAGGTATCTCCTAGATAGGCAGCTGGGCAGACAGTTGGGGTCTGTAGAAACCAGGCTATGTGCATCAATAGGGACTGGGTCTGTGTGTTTGGGTATGTACGTGTGTGTATAGAGACTAAATCTCTGTGGAGTGTCTGAGAGACAGAACTGTTTTGGGAGAACTGTCCAGAGGAAAGGGAAGCAAGGTTAAACAGTAACAAATACATAGATAATAAGAACATTGAGCATACTGAGTGTGAGCATACTGAGCTGACAGCATATGCATATGTGGGAATTTAACTTTTCCACTACAGAATACAGTACATCAATAAAGTACCTCACATTTCTTATTCAGTTAGTTCAAGCACATGAATGGTTTTATCCATTTCCTTAGTTTAAGATTTCCAGTATTTCACATTTTTCATCTTCCTCATGACTTTTCCAGTTTTCAGTTACTTATATATTAATAAGAAGGGCAAATCCATGGGTGGGAGAGGTGAGCACATTCCTAATGAGATCAGCCTTAAAAATTAGCACTAAGATCAAATCTATAGCATTTAACTCACTGTTGTTCAGTGTTCGTCTTTCCATCATTTTATGCTCTGCTTAAGAAACTCTTAAGCCTCTTAAGTCCTCCTGTCTACTCTTAACAATTTTAACAAAGGAGCCCTTTTAGGGGCTAAGATGCTTTATGAATAATTTTTATGTTTACTAAGGTTCAGTCGTAAATTTAATGGAGAAATTCTTAGGAAATGTTAATTCTAAGATTTTTCTTAGAAGTTCATCACTAGGAGCAACTGTTTGGGCTTAGGAAGCTTTGTGAATACAGGGCCAGGACTTTCTTTCCACAGATGTTCAGAGGATGAGTCACATCATATTGCAATGTAACCACAAGCATAATGCAGCACAAAATCGCTGCCAACAAGTGTGGCAGATCAGTGCAGCATGATGTTTTCACATTCCCACTCTCTGAAGCTTGTTTTAAAACTGAAGGATTAAGAACAGTATTCATACCATGCAGGCACTTCTCCCAGCATCTTTGCCACGTTCTGTCTTGAGAGAGGAAGTCGAACAGGTATGGCTATCGTCTGTGCCAGGCTCCTGCTTCACCCTCACCTGCTCTACCGCAGCTCCAGTACCTGGCCCCGCCCTCCCCGCAGAGCTACAGCTTAAACACACACAAAAACAGCTGCTTAGACTAATTAACATCAAAACATTTAACTACTAATTATGATTACTCTTAGTTCAGCAAGACTGCATAAGAATCATACTTACATTAACTTCAGTCTCAATGTCAAACACAGGACAAACAAGATATTAATGTTTAATGAAGTATGTTAAGTAAGCAAAAACTAAACTGACAAGTTTAAAGGTCGTTACTAGGAATACCGTTTAAATGGAGGCTAAAACGTCTAAAGGTCAGAGAAATGCTATAATAGTTATTTACTAATAACATTAACCAAGACACAGATCATGAAGCACCCGCTTTAAGTGGAAGAGGTCAAACCAAACTCTCAAAATGCATATTTGGCCAGACTGTATCACCATCCTGCTGTCAGAATGTCAGCTGTTTGAGCATCTATAGTGAGACAGAACGTATGCAATTCTGGCTTCCCATCTATAGTGAGACAGAACGTATGCAAGCACCGTAAAAGGCTTTGCCCCTGGCTTCCCTCCTGTATGATTTCACAAGTCTCTTCAGAGGTTAACTGTGAAGCTCTTGCATAGTTCATGCAGACTGAGTTTCAAAAGGTATGAAAAAACACAGCCCTTTCCATTCATTTCTATGAGGGCATGCCTTCACCGATGATGCAATGCTGTGCAGCGAAACAGTTGGCTCTGGTTCAACTTTCACTGCACTGGATAGTGACATCATCCAGCAAAGGTGTTGCACTGACCCGTCATGTACGGGGGACAATCGGGACGTGGACGCCAATGAGAAGAGGACTCTTGTTGACCTTGTTAGCATGAACATTCTCTACATTCTCTGCTGAATTTGGACCTCAGTTAATGCACCGTAATGACATGCCACGCATTTTCATTAGGACAGGCTGTTAAATGGTGTTTTCTACCCATCAATGCCGACACACTGGTGGTAGAATTGGTGCTAAAGTACAGTAGGCTACTTTAGCAGCATGGCTAACCAAAACACAAAACTCCCGGGCTGGAGACGTGAATGAAGCCACTCACGTCGACTCATCACATTTTGGCCCTATTTTACCTTCCGGTGGCATTGCTCTATCTTTTAACAAAACACCCCTATTGATCACTAGTATAATTAGCTATTTAGAAGCATTTACCAGAATGGTGAAAAGTTAAGTTTGGTTAGGTCTTTGGTTAATTTAAATCAGTTAACTTGGACTCTGTCAAAAGATAAGAGAAAATATTAGCACACCAAAGCGTCTTGCTACTAAAATACCTTCTTACCTGCCTCTACTGCCTGTGCTGGAAGTACTTGAAGGTCGTGCTGGCGTGTGGGCACTGGACAGACCTGCAGACAGAAATGAGACAGGAAACAGGTGATACAGCAGCAGTGACCACTTTTTATTGTACAAGCACATGAAAGTTTAATTTCTCTTGGTGAATATAAAAATGTGCACAAAGAAAATACAGAATATGATACAAACATAGGCAACAATTACAATATTTTACAGTAAAAATAATTTAACATGTAATTACATGTCATAATACGAAATTTAATTCAGGAATGCTTATACTGTACATTCAAATATTTTATTTTCATGCAGGAAACCAACCATTAAAAACACAAACAAGAAGCTCTATTAGAACTGAGTGGCATTACCTCTCCCTGAACATGTGTATGTATACCTGATGATCCAGGCGAGTGTGTGGACAGTGCAGGCGAGGGATTCATGTCCACTGAGCCCAGCTGATGCTGCTGGCTGGCTGTGATGTAGCGAGACAGAAGGTGGCCAAGGTTGCTGGAACCCGCATCCTCCAGCTAATGATGCCAGATATACAACCGTGGTAGTGAAAATAAAGAGATAACCAAATTACATGAAAGGAATTCAATGGAAAATATAACCAGCCAAGTGACAAATATAGCTAAATTTTGGCCTAAGTCTGACGACTCAGGGAGTGTCTCAGACTTCATGGTTGCAGCCTTATACGTGTATATAAATTCACTATATTTTCATATTTTGCTTTGCATTCTGTCATTTGTTTATATTGCATGTATTTTACAATTTCTCTAAACACTGTGCACAGTTTTAAGGTGTATTCACAGCTTTTGCAAACACCTCCTCATTGTGTATTCTTGTGTTGCACTATGACAGCTCTGTGCACAGCGGGGGTGCAACTAGATTTCAAATTTGTTGAACCCAGCTGTGTTAACCCTTATGAACACAGCCAACCATACTGCTTGAACAAATAAAAATCTAATTAACCTACATTACAAGTCACAAGTTTTGACACCCTTTCCCATTCAAATGAATGGGAAAATGCTTGGCAAAATATCAGCATGTAGATGCAGCTGCTAAGTTTGCTCAAAACAGTACAAGTCTGAAATGCAGTCATCTACTATTGGCAACAATATTATTACTACTATGGAGGCACCATTTGGTTCAGCATCCCCATGATTTTCAGTTGATGAAACACTACCCAGACCAATATGCAGCATAAAACCCTTGTTTTACTGCTATAATATGAACACATCATTATACATTCATCTTGTCTCAAAATATTCTCCTTAGGGTTGGGTATTGTTTGGGTTTTTTCTGATACCTGTGCTAAAACGATACTTTTAAAATTATTCCAGTGCCTAAACGGTACCAGAACCAATACTTTAAGAGAAAAGAAGCATAAAACCAGGCCATATATTTCATCATTTGAAGAGCAAGACCATTTGGCCTTCAATTTCATACATTTTTGGAGGGCACAAAGGCCACTAGACTGGACACTAAGGCCGAGACAAATCATGATATGTATGTAGCTAATGTATACAGCCTGAGCAGTAGAGTTCCAAACTAAATTGCAGATGCTTGTAGAATGGTCAAAGCGAAATATGCAGACGGTATAGCAACTCTGCACCTTTATTATAATTTGGATAGTACATGGTGTTATCTGTGCATATTTAGATTCAAAGTCAAACTAAGCTCTTGTTGCTCTCTGCTGATGCTGCCTAAGATCACGGGTCAGAATAATCATGGATGTATTGAGAAGAAAATGACATTTAATTTCTCTTAATTACTTTAACTGGTGCAATAATTATATTCTCCTGGCATCGGGATGACAGAATGACCTGCATCACTTCTAACACTGTCAAAACTAAAAATAAGCCCATAAAGGCTGCCTATTAAGGTTTTCACTTTGTTGTCACAGAGGTTTACCAATAAACAGTAAAAATGTGTTAAAAAGTGAATAACCTTACATTCTACAGCACATTATGCCAACTTACATTAACCATGGAATGTTTTATAAGGAGCGCTCCAGCGTGAACAGCTTTATTAAGCACCGTTCTCCTTAATACATCCACAAACACACACCTACATGAGCAATTCTGATCTGATGGCGCTAATGAAGGTGAGCCGGCCACTGTGGCTGTGTAAAACCAACAGATATACGGCACATTGAGACCAGATGCCAGGGCAACATGGCCATTGTGAAATGCATGCCCTGCATAAAACTAAGGTTGATGGCATTAGAAAATATTCCCATTCATTCCCAGTTCAACTTCTGAGCTCTGAGGTAAATGGAACACAGTAAGTGTAATGATAATGTTAGCATGTGATGTGCAGTGGTGCTTCTGTTGCCTGTATAGTCTGTTTCATAGCACCAGAGGACAAATATTTCAATGGCACTGAAATGGGGCATCGAAATCTGCATTGTGATTCAGCCCAGTAGATACTAATTGTATAGGAACCGGTCCCAGTACCTATCCCTAATTCCACTGTTCAAAACATTGGGAGTAATTAATGTGATATTTTTAATTTATATATATTTGTTTTGTTTCATTTGAAGAGTCATCTGACAAGTAAAATATCAAAACTGGAAAATGAAGATTCCTCACTAAAACAAAGATTGTTAGAAGGTGTGCACCTGAATGGGCGGGATCTCAGGTAGGCAGGGTAGGTTCTCAGGATTGGTGACAGAAGGGATGAGCTCGATGGGACCTATGATGGGGCTAGTGGGGCCGCGGTGAGCATGGGCTCCAGCCATACTGGCACTGGTGGGACTTGTAGGGTTTGCATTATGGAGAGATGCCACAGGGAAAGGGCCTGCGTGCCCTGGGTTGGAATGCTGCACAGAAAAAGAGAGAGGGAGGGACAGAGGACAAGAAGACCATAGGAAGGGAGGAGGGATGTAAGGGAGGAAGCACCAGAGAATGGAAGCAATAATAAGAATGAAGATAAAAGGAAACAAGAAAGGATGGATGACAGGAACAATGAAGGCAGGTTATGCATTGGATTATCAAAAAATCTTCTTTGTAAAAACATGGTTGCATGATCATGCATTTGGGTGACAACGCATGCTGCACAAGACACAAATGACAAAGTAGGAAAAAGGTGCCAAACCCCTGATTGGAGTAAGAAACGAAACCTTTGGTGGCTCATCTCAGATTCTATAGACATCTGGACACAGAGAAAAAGGGGCTAGATATAGTGGATGTTACTCTTACCTAGTCTTGCATGCAGGCAGTAAAGGTGTTATACACATTACTTAACATGAGCAACTAATCAGCATTATATGTATAGTTCCATTGGTGAGGCGGTGCCAAGTAGAAGTGAATGAGGAAACTGTACATTTGCACTTGCATTTCTTAGAAAACTCATGAAACAGGTTTTTAAGTTTTAACAGCTCTGTTTTAGTGGGACTGTCTAAATCTTGGGCTTAGAAGGTTCTATCTTCCATTTGTGACCACAAAAAAAAAAATCAAATTTTTATATTCATGTTTGAAAATACACTACTACTGCCAAGGTTAAAATTAATATTTCACTGTCAAATACAAAATTTAAATCCTTCTTCACCTGCAGGAACTTAAAACATAATGTAATGTGCAGCAATTGTTGTATAGTCTGACTTTACATTATTGATGGGTTTCTTTATCTCAATTTGGCACTAGAGGTACTACTACTGCACATGCAAGTTCAGGGTACTTTCAGCAATGGCCAACAGTGCTGTCTATTGTAATTGATCACGCAAATGTCTCATTGATAGCTAATGCAAATGAAAATGTGAAGTCTATTCCACCTAAGTTTCACTGCAATTATACTGGAGAATAGTCTGAAATGTCTGTTTTCAATTTAATTTGGTCAGTGTAATGTCACTCATATTTTGTAAAGTTAAGATGAATAGCAGTGGCCCCACCATTTTTTAGCATATACAGTACATTTACAGCTCTCATAAATTTCATATTATTTATATTCCTTTGTCCACTTCCCTGGCCATTGATGACAATGTCATGGTGCTCAAGAATCAAAACCCCAGTCATATCAACAGAGAAAGCTGGCTATGGACCGCAAGCGCCTGCAGAGAGTGGTAAAAAGAGGACTCCACTGCCCTCTCTGCAGAGCATCTACCACCGCAGAGTCCGCAGGAAAGCCGCCACCATCCTCAATGACCCCACCCACCCCCAGCATGGACTGTTCACACCTCTATCCTCAGGCTGGAGGTTCAGGAGTGTGAAATGCACTACTTCTAGACTGAAAAACTCTCTTTCCAACTGCATTCAGACTCCTAAACAGCTGACAGGGGTTTACAATCAGGGACTACTTCATGTAATTGCACCTGTACTGCTTAAATGTTCAGTTGCACATGCATAACTGCAAATGCATAGTTTCACATCCACTGCTGACTATTGCACATAAAGATCCGATGCAGCATACCTTATCTCCCGGTGTGTTTATCATATTTTTATATACTTGTCATTATATTTCTTTTCACTCACTGTTTAAAGTGCCTTTAGACTTTGTGCTACTATTTATCTGCTTTATATTTGGCACTCAGTAAGGACAACAAAGTAAGAATTCATTGTGCAGGGAAACGCGTTTCCGTACTGTGCATATGACAATAAACACTTTGAATCCTTGAATCCTTTACTGTTCCTGAATTTCAAAAGTTTAGTTTGTTGCATTAGACATGTTAAACAAAATTATTAAGTAGGCATTTTTTCCTGCTTCAGAGCAGCCTCACCCTGTGCATCTATATGGCAATTGCAATCACACTAGAACTGACATTTTGGGTTAAATAATCCTTTAACACATTTAGCACATCAGAACACCAGTTTCAGTTTATCCAACATTTTATAAAAATAAATGTGTTATACACAAAATATTACTTGTACAATTCAATCAGTCAAAATATGCTCATTTTCATACAGTGACTGTGGAGTGTTTGTACTGACCTGTCTCTGCAGCTGAGCCTGTATCATGGCGGGATACTGTTGTCCATTAAGTCTTGGCTGGGCAGTGGGCATTCTGCCTTGAGGTGGACCAGGTAAGCGCATGTGGTGGGAGGAAGGATACATAGAGGGACCTGGCCCACCGTTCATACCTCCAGGCCCTCTTGGCAACTGCTGCATACTGATAAGCCTTGGAGGCTGGTCAAAATCACACAAACCACATGTAAAAACCAGATCAGTGGATAAACACAACCAGATTTATGCACAGCAACAAATATTTAAAGCATATTTAAAAAATTTAGACAAACCATACAAGTTGATTTGGCCTGAAAAATGCTAAATCACTGATATGGCCCTTTTAGTCTAATAAAGAAAATAGAAATCAGGAATGTACTCATTCAAACCCATTACTGATATACATGAGTTCCCTTAGAAGTACAGCACACATGGCCCACGTGGGTTTATTGTGGATTAAGGAATAAGTCTGTCACCAAATCCTCTTGCTACTATGATAATGAAAACTGTCTGTTGTGCCAAGAATATTTTGAAGTAATATTTTAAAGAGTCACTTGCATAATTGATTGGAACAGAGATTTCCACTCATTTCCATAGCGGTGCCTTGATTGGTCAAAGTTTTACATACCTGTTGCACCATGGGTGGGCCAGGCTGTCTGGTGTGCTGCTGGGACATTTGGGAGGCAATCCGCATCTGTTGCTGGATCTGCTGCTGGTGCTGATGCTGTTGCTGTTGCTGCTGCTGCTGCTGCTGCTTCTGCTGTACATAGGCTGCCTGCTGCATGTGCTGCAGTCGGAGCTGGGCCAAGTTGATCTGTCCTGGGTGTTTGCTGGGGTGACCTTGGCCTGGTGAAATGGATGGCGCTCCTACCATCACATTGGATGGTTGCACAGGTGGAGGTGTCTTTTCAATAACCAAATTACCTACAATTGAAAGAGGGATTGCAGTAAGCATGATTTTAAAAAGTGCACATGCTCTTGGCAGGCCGTGAGATTTTCTTTTGTTTTATTTATACAGCAGGGAGAAGGCATATTAACCAACTGCGTACTGCTCAACTTTCAAGCTGTTTAATGCATACAGTAGAATAATCTGGTTAGCCAGAGGATGAGTAATAAGCATGTAAAGATTATAAAAATATCAGATTAAACATGTTTTAATCTTTAATCAGTTTAATATTTAATATAAAAATACTGACTGATAACAGCTAATAAAGTATTAGATCCTCTCACCTAAATTCACCACATTTTTGGCCCAGAAGGTGGGGTCACAGAAGAAGCGCACAACTCCATTGGCCTGTGGCGCTGGCTCCAGTCTAGCCTTAAAGAGCTGGCGAAGCTGAAACAGGATCTGTATGCATGCATACAGAGATAAATGTTCTTCAGTTACTATGACTGGCTACATCAGAGCAACAAATAACTCATTTGTCAGTTTGCCCTTTGGGGGCATTACTCACAATAAGGTTATCTTATTTGCTGAGTGCCTTGTGGTAAGTAATCAAACCCACAGGGTAAACACTCCCCTGGGTTCAGACCCAAATAAATAAAAACAATCCAAGAATGTGCAGGAAAAAAAATGTTCTGTGACTTCAACAACCTAACAAAAACACTGGGCAGCAGTAACCCTCAAACTTAAGACAAAAATACCAGTGTACTGGCTACCATCTACAGCATTCATTTCTGGTCCAATTACAACCAGATACTGCGCTTCTTTGGATGCAAACTAGTCGATGTCTGTGACGCAGATTTGGCTCTGCTCTCAGTACAATGCTGGCCCCCCAAAGGGGCGAACATCTGGTGCTCGTGAGAGACATACCAGCCTCTTGCTGTAGAGCAGCGCTGTGCTGCTGCCATTGGTGATGGCCCACTGGCAGAAGTTGAGAACATGGTGAATCTGTTGGGCCAGCTGGGTCGTATCCTTATGCTGAGCCACAAGCCTGATACTGCGCTCTTTGGTCACAGTCTAGACAGAAAGGAAGATTAAGTTGGTTAAGGGACTGCTACTGAAAGAGACTTACACCCAAGTTAAATTAATGTGACTCAACCAAGCCAAATCTCTATTCAAGCAAAGTGTTGGCATATGCATCGAGATGAATTAGATTAAACTTCAAAGATTCCGGGGGGAGTTTGGGCTATTGCAGCAGTTAATAATAGACTGCAGCAAAGAAGAACAAATAAGAAAGAGTG